CCGACCCAAGCTTTCACCACCTTATTATCTGTGTCCATGGGTTATGCACATATATATGCATGTAAGTTCTTTGGTTAATCTCTTCCCACCCACCTTCCCACCCCTGCCTTCCCTCTGAGATTCCACAGTCTGTTCCATGCTTCTATGTCTCCAAATCTCTTTTGTTCATTAGTTTATTTTGTTCTTTAGATTCCACATATGAGTGAGATCATGTGATACTTGTCTTTTTCTGACTGGCTTATTTCACTTAGCATAATACTCTCCAGGTCCATCCATGCTGTCTCAAAGGGTAAGAGGTCCATTTCACTGCTGCATAGTATTCCATTGTGTCAATGTACCACAGCTTTTTTATCCATTCATCTACTCATGAACACTTGGGTTGTTTCCAGATCTTAGCTATTGTAAATTGTACTGCCATGAACATAGGGATGCATGTATTCTTTCTGAATGGTGTTTCACATTTCTTAGAATACATTTCTAGAAGTGGGATCACTGGATCAAATGGCAATCCCATATTTACTTTTTTTTGAAACTCCATACTGTTATTCATAGTGGTTGCACCAGTCTGCATTACCACCAGCAGTGTACTAGGGTTCCCTTTTCTCCACATCCTAACCAGCACTTGTTATTTGTTGATTTGTTGGTAGCCATTCTGACAGATATGAGGTGATACCTCATTTGCTGTTTTAATTTGCATCTCTCATGCCCTTGACCGGAATCGAACCTGGGACCCTTGAGTCCGCAGGCCGACACTCTATCCACTGAGCCAAACCGGTTCGGCTCTTTGCCCATTTTTTAATTGGATTGTTTGTCTTCCTTTTGTTAAGTTAAATGAGTTCCTTATATATTTTTTAAATTAACCCCCCCATTAGATGAATCATTATTTTAAAAGATATGTTTTTATTGATTTTAGAGAGAGAGAAAGGGAGAGGGAGAGAGAGATAGAAACATTGATGAGAGAGAAATATCAACATCAATCTGGGGATGGAGCCCACAACCCAGGCAAATGCCCTGACTGTGAATCGAAGTGGTAACCTCCTCGTGCATGGGTTGATGCTCAACCACTGAGCTACACTGGCCGGGCTCCTCATTCTTTTTAATACTTTTTTTCTTTTTGCTGCTCTAATTCAGGGTTTTTATCTACTTTATCTCCCAAACTGCTATTCAATCCTCTGCTTCATCACCTACTTTTTATTCCTTCCAGTGTATTCTAGATGTCAGGTATCATATTCCCCATTTCTAATTGGTTCTTTTTCATGGTTTCTATGTCTCCTTTCACATTGTTGAAGTTATCACTAAATTTCTTCTAAACATTCCTTTGAGCTTTATATTTGAGAAATTGTTTACCTCAACTTCATTTAGCTTTTCTCCCCTGGAGATGTCCTCAGTTCTTTCATTTGGGGACTATTTCTTTGTTTGCATATTTTGGCTGCATCTTTGATTCCCAGTCTTCATGGGGTGGCCTTATGTAGTAGGTGTCCTGTGGGACCCAGTGGTGCAGTCTCCTTGATCTCCTGACCTGGGTGTTCTAGGAATGTCATTTGTGTGGCTTATGTGGGCCTTGCTGTTGTAATTGAGTCTTGATTGCTGTTGGCCCATTTGTATGTGGGATTGACTTTCAGGCTGACTGACTGTGAGGCTAACCACTGAGCCTGGCATGTGTGTTACTGTGCAGGTACTGACCAAAATAAAAATAAGAAAAAAAAATACAGAAAATAAAAATAAAGAAAATAAAAAATAAAGAAAAAGAAATAAAATAAAAAGGCTCAAAGAAGAAAAAAGAAAAGAAAAAAAAAGAGAAAGGAGGGGGAGAAAAAAGTGGAATTTGCCTCAGCTGTTTAGTGCCCATGCCATGTCCTTTTGGATAAGCTGTTTGCAAAGTTTATTGGACCCAGCGCCAATGTTGTCTGAAGCTGGCCACTTAGTGTGTTGATTCTGGGCCTCTTAGAGACTCTGACGCAGGTTAATGTCAGATACTGTCTGTACCTGGCCCTTGGCAATCTGTTTAAAGCTACAAATGATCCAAAGATTGTGGCTGTCTCTGCTGGGCTTGGCAGTGTATAGGAAGGACCAAGCGTGCTCTAAGGCTAACTTTTACCAGCACTGGGCCCTGGGGCATGTCAACAAACATTCCAACGCCACCTGGAAGCCACTATGGCCTGCCTCTGCCTTCTGGCTGCCTGTTAGGCTCAGTTACTGAAAGAGCCTGTGGTGAATTCAGGAGAATGGGGTGAGTGGATCTTCCATGAAGGGGAGCTGCTGTACAGGCTTCAGGGAAGCTGGTGGGTGTGGTCTCTTCTCCAGAGCCACATGACTGACTCTATCTCAGATTTTGCCCTGACCTTGTAGTCAGGCAGGTGGGGTGCCTGGAGCCCAGAGGTTGGGACTGCGGGAAGACAGGAGGGTAGTTCTATTGGATCTCTTGTGAGGGAGAAGTGCCAGTCAGGTTCACGGGAAAGTGGGGGAAATGGCCCCACCCCAAAGCTAGTCACTGACACCCCCTGAGTCTGCCCAGACTTATACACTGGTCAATGAAACTGACTCCTCAACAGAGCCTAACCTCCTCAGGGTGGGACAAGAGGGAGTCCAGAGAGTGGGGTAATTGTTTTCCCCCAGTCTGATGTTGCATGGAGGGGACTGCTCCACCTAGAAAAGATGGCGACCGTGCCACTGAAGAATGACTCAGCACAGGTATCCCAGCAGCCATCTCGCTGACTCCACCCCAGAGTCCAAACCTCAGACTCTCCCTAGGCAACTCCAGTTTGTACTGCCCTCTCTTCACCAGAACCTAGAGTCAGTGGCTGCAGATGAAATTTTGTGCATTAGCCCTTTAAGAGTGTGCGTGTGTCTCCAGCAGATTCCATCACTCCTTGGCAGACAGAAACCCTGCTGCTTTTTTTTAGTTGAATATTATGTGGGTGCTTCTTCCTGGCTCTGGTGCTCTGGACTGGGAGCATGGCCTGGGGATTAGGCCCCATGCTTGTCAGAGGAACTCCTCACAGAGGTATACCTCCTGAACCTTAGCCACTACCTATGGGAGCGGGGCCAGCCCTTTTCACATCTCTGCCCTTCCTACCAGTCTTGATGTGTTTCTGTAAATCCTTGGTTATAAGAATATTCTTCAGCTTGTCTTTAGTTGTTTATTCAGGGTGGTTATTCTTTAATTTAGTTGTATTTCCAGTTTGGTCCTGGAAGAGGTAAGTGTAAGATCCACCTATTCCACCTCCATTTTGAAAGTCTCTTCCTTGGTTTTAGTGTGTTCTCCCTCTTACTGTTCTCACCAATCAATTGATGAGAACTGTCAGTTACCTCACACATCGAGCTTCTCCTTCCTATTTGACCTAACTCACATCCTCATCAGGTTTCTCCCAGTCATACTGGATTCCTCTTTGCAATTCCTCCTGCTTTGAACCTGACCATCATGGCACTCACATTTCCCCACTGTTAGTCAGAGGATGAGTGTATTAACCCCCTGGGAGACAATAATCTTAGTCATCAGTTTTCCCCAGAATACTGAGCACAGTGTCTAACATATGATGAGAGGTCAATGAATGCTTAATTCCTCTTTATTGCAGATCCAGCCTCCCAATCCCAGCTCCCCCATCCCACCAATATTCCTGCCTTCAGATCCTCCACTTACCTGGCTCCTGGCAAAGACCTGGGTCCGTAGTTCAGATTTCCAACTGCAGCAGCTCCAATATCACGTGCTGAACACTCATCTGCTGGCTGAGGTCATCGCTGTAGCCACCATGAGGTGCCTCCCAGGACTGCACCCTGTGTTCAAGGTACATACTCTACCCTCCATGTCTTCTCTTGCTCACATCCCAGAGAAAGGAAATAATGCCACAGTTACTCGGGATTTAAAAAGCCTAATCCATCTGGCTGGGAACATGAAACAAACCTGCTTTGCAATAATCTAGCATTGATATGGTATTGCGGCAAAGAATCTTCATAGGCGGGAGGGGACAAGAGAAAAATAACTATGGCAAGCCCTTGAATCTTGTGGTCATATTTTTCTGTTTAAAGTCTTTTTATTTTGAGCTAATTATAGATCCACATGCAGTTGTAAGATATAATACACATTGATATCATCTACCCTATTAAATCAAGTCATTTAGCATTTTCTACCCATACTAGTATTGCAAGTCAATTCTCTGAAATTCTCCAGCAATGGGTCTGGATGGGAGTAGGAATATAATTTGTTAAACCAATATGTTGCCGTTAAGCTAGGAATACAAATGGTAGACATGACAAACAGCCAGAGAACCATATCTTAGAATAGAGGTGAAGATAACAAGAGACAGCTATAAACACTATAGTATTGATGGAGAATGTTCTACTGCAACTGAATGTTATGAGGAGCACAAGATAAAAGGGCAAGGATAGCAGGCCGGCTGGTCACTGACATCTACCCAAGAGTGAGGAGACTAAAGATGTGCATTAGCATGGTGGTGACAGGGATGGGAGGGAGGGGATACTGCCTGTGTCATGCCTGTGCAATATTGGAGAAAAAGGCCAGAGGCCTCGGCACTGCCAGGCTTAGAAGCTCACAAAGTAAATACTTGTTGGAATGACCCAAAAATACTGTAATACTATAAACAGCGAGTTCAGTGTCTATTGCTAGGCAAAAGGCAGCAATATAAGACTTGTGCTTGTCTTACAATTGTTTTCCAGATCTCAATGGCACTTTGATACAGGGAACAGGGAAGAGCAGGGAGCAAACATCTATAAGCCTATAAAGCAGAGCAATGGTCATAAAGAGTGTAATCAGGAAAGAAGTCAGTTTGGAGGCAAAGATGAGGTATTGAGTTTTCGATACAAAGAGTTTGAAGTGTTGGTAAGATATGCAAATGAGTATTTGGCAGGCAGAACAACTGAACTGTAATGTCACTGAGAGTTCCAATGCCAACCCTCCTCTGGGCTGTGGTTGTTCGGGGTTCTAGGGTGACATAGACAAAATAGTTACTAATGTAGATCATGGGCTCTCAGGTTTGATAACCTCATGATGCTTTTGCATGACCATCTCCCTCCTAGCTTGAATCACTTATGCCCAATTTTACACTTTAAAATGCCCTTTTACTAGTTAAGCCCCCCTCCACATCCATATTCCCTCACCATAGCAACTCCATCCCATGGCAGACAGTCTTGTTGGAACTCCCAGGAGGGCTAAGCTTGCAGAACTTACCAAGGTTACCTGTGCAAGCTCTGGATTCAGACTGCTCAGGTCTGAAGCCTGAATCCTGGTCTCAGTACTCACCAGATGTGTGTTTAGGGTCCTCATCTCTAAATGAGGATAACTATCTCCATTGTTGGGTTGTTAAGACATTACAGACTAAATGCTAGAAAAATGTCAGTTTTCTGCTGTTATTTTTATTGTCATCATCATTTCTGTCATTGCTGTTAGGAACTCTGTTCTGGGTTCTTTATTCCTTGCTGTTGTCTTAGTGTTTTCTGTGACACCAGCATCCCTCCATGAACTTTCTGAAAAGAACAATATGAGTTCCCTTGATATCTCGATTATGGGAGTATCACTTGTGCCCTTCCCTTTTCCAGCATCAAAAAGCTCTGATCAATATCCAAACTGTCTGAATCCTATATGTTAATCAGGTTAAAACTGAAATAAAAATAATCTAAGATAAAAAGAAGCACATGTCAGAATCGGGTGCATTTTAAAAAAATATATGCTTTTGTTGAGTTTAGAGAGAGAGGAAGGGAGAAGAAGAGATAGAAACATATATGAGAAACACTGATCAGCTGCCTCATGTATGCCCTCTACTGGGGATGAAGCCTGAATTCCAGGCCTGTGTTCTGAATGGGAATCAATCCTGAGACCTATTGTTTCATGGATCAACACTCAACCACTGAGCCACACTAGCTTGGCAGGTGCACTTTTTATTTTTAAAATCTTTATTGTTGAGAGTATTACAAATGTCTCTCTTTGTTCCCCCCATTACCTCCCTCCACCTGGTTCCCACCCCACCCCAGGCCTTCACCACCTTATTGCCTGTATCCATAGGTATATAAGATCTTTGGTTAATCAGATAGGGATATAAGATCTTTGGTTAATCTCTTCCTGCCCCTCTCCCCTTTCCCTTTGAACAGATTCATCAGTCTGTTCCATGTTTCCATGCCTCTGATTTTATTTTATTTATCAGTTTATTTTGTTCATTAGATTTTGTTTGTTTATTTTTAGATTCAATTGTTGATAGATATGTATTTATTGCCATTTTATTCTTCATATTTATAATCTTTTTTCTCTTCTTATTCTTCTTCCTTTTCTTAAAGAATACCTTTCAATATTTCATGTAATACTGGTTTGGTGGTGATGAACTCCTTTAGCTTTTTCTTGTTTGTGAAGCTCTTTATCTGACCTTCAATTCTAAATGATAGCTTTGCTGGGTAGAGCAATCTTGGTAGTAGGTCCTTGCTATTCATCACTTTGAGTATTTCTTGCTACTCCCTTCTGGCCTGCAAAGTTTCTATTAAGAAATGAGTTGACAGTTGTATGGGAGCTCCCTTGTAGATAACTAACTGCTTTCCTCTTGCTACTTTTAAAATTCTCTATCTTTAACCCATGGCATTTTAATTATGATGTGTCTTATTGTGGATCTCTTTGGGTTTCTCTTGTTTGGGACTCTCTGTGCTTCCTGGTCTTGGAAGTCTATTACTTTTACCAAGTAGGGCAAGTTTTCTGTCATTATTTCTTCAAATAGGTTTTCAATATTTTGCTCTCTCTATCTCTTCCTTCTGGAACCCCATAATGCAAATGTTGGTATGCCTGAAGTTGTCCCAGAGACTCCTTACACTATCTTCATATTTTTTAATTCTTTTTTCTTTTTACTATTCTGATTAGGTGTTTTTTCTTCCTCATATTCCACATATTGATTTGATTCTCAGAATCCTCTAACTCTACTGTAGAATCCCTGTACATGATTCTTTATTTCAGTTAGTGTATGCTTAATTTCTGACCAGTCCTTTTTCATATCTTTGACATTTTCTCTAAGATCCTTGAAAGTCTCACTAAGTCTCTTGACACTCTCATTAATTCCCTTGAAACCCTCATTAAGTCCCTTGAAGCACTCATTAAGATCCTTAGGTAACCTTATAACTATTGTTTTGAATTCTGTATCCAGTAGTTTGCTTGCTTCCATTTCTTTCATTTGTAACATGTTTCTTTGTCTCCTCATTTTGACTGCCTCCCTGTTTTTGCTTCTATGTATTAGATAGAGATGTTATGTCTCCTGGAATTGGTAGATTGGCCTTGTGTACTAGGTGTCCTATAGCGCCCAGTCGTTCAGTCTCCCCAGTCACCTGAGCTGCACACTCTAGGTGTGCCCCTGTATGATTTATGTGCACAGTCTTATTGTAGTTGAGCCTTGATTGTTGTTGGCATCACTTGGAGGAATTAACCTCCAGGCCAATTGGCTGTGAGGACCTGCTGTGACTACAGTGGAAGAGCTGCTATTCAGGAGACACTCCTATGGAGCAATACTTGCTTCAGTGGGGCTTTGGTGCACACACTTCGTCTTCCTCCTGAGTGTGTTGCTTGTGAATGAGTAGAGCTGTAATCTGGTATGCTCTGAAGCTGGTTGACAGATGAAGAAATTAACATTTAGGGGGTATATGGCCTTGAACAAGTATCAGAATGAGGGTTAAAACCCAGGACTCAAACCCAGGTCATTCTAGCTCCAGAGCTGCACTCACAGTAGAGTCATGGAGAGCATGAGAGTTAGTGATCATAGCAGCAGAAGGAAACCAGCGTGCAACGGCACTGGCAGGGAGGAAAAGATCCAGAGGAGAGAATGTCACCAGGCTGAGTGCCACTCCCTACAAGGGAGGACCCAAGCATGGACTCCATTAACAACCCTTCTCTAATCTTCATCCAGCTCCTGATCCCACACACGCGCTACACCATGGAGGTTAACATCAGAGCGCGGACCCAATTCGACTCTGATAGTGGAATATTTAATCAGGTAACGAGGAAATGGGGGCATAGGGCTGCCTAATCTTTCATCTCTCTACAACCTCCCGCAATCTTCACAGTCTCAGACAACCTAGTATGAATGTCCTGACCCTTAAACCTATGTGCCTGTTCCTTTTGTACCTTTAATTTTGTAAACTCCAACACTGAACCCCTTATATAAGACTCTGCAGCTCTTCTATTTCATGAGACCTGTCAACCCTCAAATTCCAGGCAATGAGCACAGGTGGAGGAGGCTATGTGCCGTTGTTTCATCGGGCCATGGCTCAACTGACCTACCGCTCCCTCTGTCCTCCTGAAGATCTGGCTGACCGGGGCCTGCTGGGAATCCCAAGTGCTCTCTATGCCCATGATGCTTTACGGCTCTGGGAGATCATTGCCCGGTGGGTGAGAGTGGGAGCTGAGAAATGGATGGCCATTGGGGAGAGGGAGAGTGGGTCTCTGTCTTGAGGTCAGCATGAGGAACATGAAAGAAGAAGGTTCACACAGGGGGAGCAGAGGACTCAATCCTGGGAGAGATGAGGAAGAGTGAGGAGACAGTGGATAGGATCTGAAAAGAAGGAAAGTAGAATAAGAGCGTAGGTTGTGAGACCTGGGAATGGGGAGATGGGGATCTAGAAGAACCAGGGTTTTGTTAGGGAGAATGGTTATTAATCACGTTTAGGGAGCTATTAATACTAAGGATCCATAATTCCTTCCTTTCTAAACTAGTGTGTAGAATGAGTCCAGGGATGTCCCAAAAAGTAAGTCTTGTAAAATCTGTGTCCAGATACAGTGGATGGACCTTGGCTGAGGCCACAGAAAAGGAGTAGCAATCAGAGGCTAGGGCTTTCTACTCTTAACGAGCTCAGCTCCCTTCTCCTCTGGGCAGGTACGTGGAAGGGATCATCCACCTCTTCTACCACGGGGATGACGTCGTGAGAGGGGACCCTGAGCTGCAGGCCTGGTGTCGGGAGATCACTGAGGTGGGGCTGTGCCAGGCCCAGGACCGAGGTAAGTTCCCTCCCCAGAGAAGAAAGCTCCTCAGACACTGCCCAGAGTCTCTTGTCAGCCTTGGTCTTCTGGGGAAATGAACCCAACAACTCAACACCCTCTCGCCCTCCACACATGAAGCATATGAATACCATTCTCACCTCCAAAGTGTTAGGACAGTCCTACAAATCCAAGGATTTTCCTCCTCAGAGTAACTGACTATCAACCTTTATTACCATCCCCCCATTCCTGCCACTGATGCCTCCAACCTCCACAGCATAGAGCCCAGTGGGTACAGAATCCCAACCAGTGGGGGATCTGCCCAGGCCCTGCTTGCGCTCTCTGATGCTCTTCCTAAGAAAATAAGTGGGGAAAATGTTCCCACCAAAGTCCATGATGAACCTCTCTGGCTTTCTCTCCCTTCTCCTCTTGCCTGCTACTGTCCACCACACACAGAAGAGGATCCAAGCACAATGACCACAGTGCAGGGTCATTTCTAGGTGAAGACTGAATCTCAGATTTCCCTAGCCAGTGCATTTCATCACTAAGCTCTAGCTACTACCTTTCATTCTTCCACTCCACATTTTAATCTATGAAGAAGAAATACAGTGTTTTTGAGCTTTGCCTAGTTTCATCTTCCTCTCTGTAGCACACATGTGCCAACCTCATCTGTTTCAAATTGTCCTTCAGGCCCTGCCCCCGCGTACTTCACACCAACACCTTGAGTCCCATCCTCAGCCTGTGGGACAAGTACAAAAATTTACTGGGAAGCTATTATGGCCAGGACATGGGAATACAAGGTTTAATATACCAATGCCAGACCCTTGGAGGGACGCTTTCTTTGGAGGGTCTGGGAAACACCCCACCACCCTGACCCTTTCAGGACCAAATGTTCTCTCATACTTTTCAGTTCTGTTCTTCAAGCATCCCAAGCCCCAAAAGATGCTTCTTCCTCTCCCTGGCCATTCTCTTCCCATGACATATCTACCTTAATCATTTACAAAATACAGTCATATATAAGCTTTAAGCTCTGATTCCCCCATCTCCCTCAACTTTCAATGTTCTCTCTGCCCTATTATTCCCACGTTATTCTCATTAAAGGCCACACACTAATATTTGTTTCTAAAGTACTGGTTTCTGCCTCTTTCCTTCTATGTGACCTTGAGCTATCCACTAGATCTCTTTCACTTTGACTTTTAGTTTCCGTAAAGCTAAAATGGACAAAATATTTGGCAACCATTCTCACTTAGTACCTGACAGAATGTTTGAGACCCAGTGATATAATGTGTGACAGTGCTGAAACCTGCTTAGTATATAGTGTTAGATGAGTTTAATCATATGCTCGACCCCACACAAAAATACCTCCCCAATATGATCAGCAGGTGAAATAGGAGAGTCCAGACTCTGCCATGCAATAGATGACCTTGGTCAGGCATCAAACTCTATGACCCCATCTCACTGTATTCATCATGTTTGTTTATTCTGCAATTTTGATACTTTGACATCTTGGAGTCTTGCTGACCCAGAAGGCACCACCCTTCCCAGGGCCAGCTGATTCTCAGATATAGCAAACAACTCCCCTGGGAGCATGCTTTTCATATGCCAGAAGTCCCAACCACCACCTGTATTGAGCTCTTACACTCTGGGCCGCTATTCCCCTGGCCTAATCACCTCGGGCCAGGTACCAGACAAGGGACAGCTACCACACTCCAGAGCCCACTGGAATTATAGCAACTAGCCTGTCCTAAACCTGCTTATTCTGCCTTGCTTGTTCCTTCTCATGGAAACCGTGACAAAGGCTCCTGCTGTCTTTTCCCCTCACCCCTCTGCCTCTTGACCAAACCTGGTGCTTCCAGTGTGGTCCCCTGTGGTGCGGCAGGTACCCATCTCTTGGGATCTGTGAGTATAACACATATCTTTTCCATGGCAGTTATCTCCTGACCTGTTGGCCTCAGCACAACTGGATAATAATAGAAACTATATTTTAAAACACTTGCCTGTATATTGAGTGGAATGGATAGCTGACTTTCACACCCTTCCTGTAGTTTAACTGAATGAATTACTTCTCTTTCTCTGCATCATTACCCAGCTATCCATCAGCACTGAACCGCTTTTGGGGAGTCAGAAATTTTGTTGAAATACAACAAACCTAGAGAGAGGTACAGAAATCATAGGTATACAACTTATGATGTGTTACTATGGTGACACACCTGTATAATTAGCATGAAGATCAAGAATCAGAACTTTACCAGCTCCCTCAGAAAGCCCCTTGTGTACTCTTCCAGTCATACCCACGTGAAAGTAACCATAACCTTGACTTGTAGGTCGGTTAGTTTTACTTGACCTTCCACAGGTGGAAATACAAACATGCACTTGCTTCATTCTCTGAACACTATGTCTGAGATTTTTCCCACTTTGGTGCATGCAGCATGTAGTTTGTTCATTATCATTGTGGTAACTTCCATTTTATAATTATGGCACCATTTATTTTTCCTTTTTGCTACTGATGGGCAATTAGTATTGTTTCCAGTTTGGGGCGATCAATATTAGTGCTATTGTGAACATTTCTGTGTGTGTTTGCCTGTTCTATTAATACCTAGGTGTTGATCAGATAGACCATAAATATGTGAAAATCAGCTTCAGTAGTTATTGACCCTTTTCCAAGGTGGTTGTTCTGGTTTCCACTCCTTTCATCAGAGTTTCAGAGCTCCATATAGTCTCAAATACATGAAAATATTTTTCTATCTTTTTTAGTTAGCATTTTTGGTGGATATGTAGATGTATCATATTGTGTATTTAAGTTGAATTTCCCTAAAGACTAGGGAGTACTTTTTTCTTGGTTTAAGAGTCATTGAGATATCCTCCTTTATGACGTGCCTATTAAAGTCTTTTACCCTTATACCTTTAGGGTTGTAGCCTTTATCTTGTGATTTTTTTTACAATATATTTTATTGATTTTTTACAGGGAGGAAGGGAGTGGGATAGAGAGTTAGAAACATCAATGAGAAACATCAATCAGCTGCCTCCTGCACGCCCCCTACTGGGGATGTGCCCGCAGCCAAGGCACATGCCCTTGACCAGAATCGAAACTGGGACCCTTCAGTCCGCAGGCCGAAGCTCTATCCACTGAGCCAAACCGGTTAGGGCTATCTTGTGATTTTTTAATTGAGGTCTAATTGATATAAATTATTAATTTCAGATTTACAACGTAATGATTCATTATTTATCTGTATTGTGAAATGATCACCACAGTAAGGCTAGTCAATATCCATCACCACACATAGTTACCCAGTGTTTCCTTTGATGAGAACTTTTATGATCTACTCTTTTAGCAACTTTCAAATATACAATACAGTATTATTAACTATAGTCACCATGCTGTATATTACATCCCATGACTTGTTTATTTTATAACTGGAAGTTTGTAACTTTTGACCACATTCACCCATTTCACCCACCTTTATTCCCACCTCTGGCAACCGCCAATCTGTTCTCTGTGTCTATGATCTCAGGATTCCCCCCCCCCCATTTTTTTTTAAGATTCCATGTATAAGTGAAATCATAGAATATTTGATCTCTTTCGGTCTATTTTTTTTCATTTAGCATACTGTCCATCCAGGTGGTCACAAATGGAAAGATTTCCTTCTTTTCTGTGGCTAAATAATATTCATATACATATATAATTTTTTTAATTCATTCATCCATTGATGAATACATAAGTTGTTTCCATGCCTTTTTAAAAAATGTTTTTAAATTTACTTTTGGAGAGATGGTAAGGGTGAGAGAGAGAGAAATATAGGTGTTATTGAGGAACAAGACTATTGAATAGCTGTCTCCTGCATGCCCCTACTGGGGATGGAGCCCGCCATCCATAACCTGGTATGTGCACTGACAGGGAATTGAATCACCAACCTTTTGGTACACAGGACAATGCACAACCAATTGAGCCATACCAACAATGGTGGTTGCTTCCATGTCTTGGCTATGGTAAATAATGCTGCAATGAACTTGGGGTGCAGATATCTTTTCAAGTCAGTGTTTTTGTTTTCTTTGGATAAATATCCAGAAGTGTATTTGCTGGATCTAATGGTAATTCTATTTAATTTTTTTTGAAGAATTCCCATACTGGTTTCCATAGTGGCTTCACCAATTTACATTCCCATGAACAATGCACAAGGCTTCTCTTTTCTCCACAGCCTTGCCAATACTTGTTATTCCTTGTATTTTTATAATAGTCATTCTAACAGGTGTGAGTTGACATCTCATTATGATTTTGATTTACATTTCCCTGATTATTAGTGATGTTGAGCATTTTTTCATGTACCTGTTGGCCATCTGTGAGTGTTTGGGAAAATGTCTATTCAGATCTTCTGTCCACTTTTTAATTGGACTTCTGGTTTATGATGCTATTGAGTTGTATTAGTTCTTTACATATTTTGGATATTAACCTTATTAAATATGTGGTTTGCAAATACTTTCTCCCATTTGGTAGGTTGCCTTTTTATTTCATTGATAATTTCCTTTGCTGTGCAGAAGTTGTTTAGCCTGATGTAGTTCCATTTGTGTGTTTTTGCTTTTGTTGCCTTTGCTTTTGCAAATCCAAACGTCATCACCAAGACTGATGTTTTTATCTAGGAGTATTATAGTTTCAGGACTTTAATCAATTTTTCCTTTATTTGTGTGTGTGGTATAAAATAGCAGTCCAGTTTCATTCTTTTGCATGTGGCTGCCAGTTTTCCCAACACCATTTATTGAAGACATTGTCCTCTCCCCATTGTATATTCCTGGCTCCCTTTTTGGGCTCACTTTTCTGTTCCATTGATCTAGGTATCTGCTGTATGCCCAACACCATACTGATTTGATTAAATTTGCTTTGTTATACTGTTTGAAATCAGGAAACAGGATGAGGATGCCTTGAACTCTGTTCTTCTCTCTCAAGATTTCTGTGGCTATTTGTGGTCTTTACTGATTCCATAAATTGTAGATTGATTTACTCTATTTCTTTGAAGAATGCAATTGGAAATTCATAGGGATTGCATTGAATGTATATGTTGCCTTGGGTAGTATGGACATTTTATAATATTAATTCTTCCAATCCATGATAATAGAATATCTTTCCATTTATTTATCTTCAATTTCTTTCTTCAATGTCTTATGGTTTTCACTGTACAGGTATTTCACCTCCTTGGTTCAATATATTTCTAGCTATTTTATTCTTTTTGATGCAGTATATATTTATGTGAATGAATGAATGAATGAATGCACACTAATCATAACATAATCTCCAGACACTAGCACTCATTCCCTTATCTTTTTCAGGGATGGCAGTTTCTAAACTTTGGTATTTCTTCTCCTAGGTTTTCCTGTCTCCTTCCAGTCTCGGGCTCAGCTCTGCCATTTCCTTACCATGTGCATTTTCAGATGCACTGCCCAGCATGCAGCAGTCAACTTCAGCCAGGTATGGACAACTGAGAGCCTGGGTCCCTGAGGGAAAGTGCCTGGTCTAGGGTATGTTTGAAGGAAAGAGTTGGGAGCTAGAGCCCTGCATATCAGAGTGTCTGGTTGACTCCAGATTCTTCCCCCCCCCCAGCATGACTGTTTTTTCTGGGTCCCTAATGCCCCATGCACAATGCGGATGCCCCCTCCTACCACCAAGGAAGATGTGACAATGGCCACACTGATGGGCTCACTCCCAGATGTCCGGCAGAGCTGTCTTCAGATGCTTTTGATGAGGCAACTGGACCAGCAGCAACCAGACATGGTAAGAGGAGATTTGGGGAATTTGGGGGCAGTGATAACAGAAAAGAAATTGCAGAATGTGGGGCTGAGCTCTGATTCTTGTGTCTTGGAACTAGAAGCTGATCAATCCTTCTTTTCTGCTTCAGGTGCCCCTGGGGTATCACACAGAAGAACATTTCTCAGGCCCTGAGCCCAAGGCTATTTTAAGACAATTTCAAGCAGACCTGGACAACCTGGAAAGGGAGATAGTGGCCCGGAATGAGCAGCTAGACATTCCCTATGAATACCTGAAGCCGAGCTGCATAGAGAACAGTGTTGCTGTCTGAGCCCCACTATAATGGCTTTTCAAAGACCACAGGCCAATACTAGGGTTAACATTTTCCTTTTGAGTTTTATGTTTTCCTGGATCTGAGTTGCTATGGTTCTATTTTCTTTTCTATCCAAGTTCCCGCCCTGAATATATGACTATCCTGAGGCACTGTCCCACTTCCAGGTCATCTAACAGAATGACCTTTAACTTGAAAACACATTCCTTAAAGAGATCAACTATTCACTCATGTAGATTCTCCTATCTCTAGAAAATTTGTCTTTTTCATTTATTATATAATCATTTTGAGATAGATTTGTTAATATCGTGTGAGATGAATATTCAATTCCATTTTTTTTTCTTTTGGAAAATCTATTATACCAGCACAGTTTATTTAAGAGCCCATCCTCTCTCACTGATCTATAATGCTAGCATATATCACTTTGCCAAATCAGAATGGAAATATTTTTGAGATTTCTAATCTATGTTTTCATTAATGTGTCTGTCTTATACTATACCATACTGACATAATTACTACAACTTTATAATTAAAATCACCTACTATTTTGTAGCATAGATCCATCAATTTGTCTTTTAGAGGTGACAGCTTTTCTTGGACTTAGGACCTTTCATGTACATATTAAAATCAGCTTGTTATTCTCCAAATATAGTGTGTTGTGATTTGTTTGTGTCAGTGCACTCATTTATATAAAGTGTTCAGTCTTAAACCAACTTTGCATTCTTGAGATATACCCAATTTGCCACTGTATACACTGTTGAATTCCATTGTAGTATCCCAGGCTTGCTAAGAACCAGGTGCCCTTTCAAACCAACCACTCAACTTCCCAATCCTTTCTGACTTCTTTTGGTTTCTCTCTATAACCAATCCATTTACTAGATCATCTGGGTTCTGAGTTCCTTATTGAATCTGATCACTTTCCCAGCCTTGGTACCTCCCCTTTATGGTTGCTATCTTAGCTCCTATGGGCATGCCTCACAAAAGTACCTCCTCCTATGTTATCTTGGCTTCAATTGGGTAGGAGCCAATCAAAGGGGACATCTGTAATACATACAAAAATAAAGGTAAATTTTTAAAATGAGAGATTTTTAAAAGAAAAAAGAAATAAAACCTTAGAAATAAAAAAACACACATCTGATTTGAGGGGAAAAACACGTGATCAAGCTTCTGGTTTGAGATGGAGAAAAGAACCTACTCTTTTATCTCATCTTACTCCCAAAGTACAATAAATGTGATGCTAAAATAATAACAAAGACTCAAACAGACACATATTTAAACAGAAAATACATTTCTCAGACACCCCTCTTCCAGCCAGAGTTGGCCATTTGACTAACTGTAGTCTATAGTATATGAACAGAAGTGATGTGTGCCATTTCAGACCACGTCCTCAAAAATAATGGGCTTGTGAGTGAGTACCAAAGCCCCATCGAAGCAAGTCTAGCCCCAGAGGGGTGTCTCCACCACAGAAGTTCTCCCACTGCAGACACAGGTGATTCTCACAGCCAATTGGCCTGGAGGTCAATTCCTCCAGTGATAACTACAACAATCAAGGCTTAATTACAACAAGACTGTGCACAAAGCCCACAAGGGGGTGCACCAAGAGTGTCTACCTCAGGTAATTGGGACACTTAGCACAGAAAGGCACTCTATCGACACAGCGAAGAATAAAAAATGCCGAGACAAAGAAACAGGACGCAAACGACAGAAATGGAGGAAAGCAAACTGCTGGATATAGAGTTCAAAACCACACGTTTAAGGTCTCTCAAGAACTGTCTAGAAGCCGCCGATAAATTTAGTAAGGCCCTCGAAAAGACTGGTGAGACCGCCGATAAATGTAGTGAGATCTTCAAGAAGACTGGTGAAACCCTCGATGTTGTGATAAAGAACCAACTAGAAATTAAGCATACACTGACTGAAATAAAGAATATTATACAGACACCCAACAGCAGACCAGAGGATCGCAAGAATCAAGCCAAAGATTTGAAATACGAAGAAGCAAAAAACACCCAACCGGAAAAACAAAATGAAAAAAGAATCCAAAAATACGAAGATAGTGTAAGGAGCCTCTGGGACAGCTTCAAGCGTACCAACATCCGAATTATAGGGGTGCCAGAAGAAGAGAGAGAGCAAGATATTGAAAACCTATTTGAAGAAATAATGACAGAAAACTTCCCCTACCTGGTGAAAGAAATAGACTTCCAAGTCCAGGAAGCGCAGAGAACCTCAAACAAAAGGAATCCAAAGAGGACCACACCAAGACACATCATCATTAAAATGCCAAGAGCAAAAGACAAAGAGAGAATCCTAAAAGCAGCAAGAGAAAGAAAATCAGTTACCTACAAGGGAGTACCCATATGACTGTCAGCTGATTTCTCAACAGAAACTTTGCAGGCCAGAAGGGAGTGGCAAGAAATATTCAAAGTGATGAATACCAAGAACCTACAACCAAGACTACTTTATCCAGCAAAGCTATCATTCAGAAGTGAAGGCCAGATAAAGAGCTTCACAGATAAGAAAAAGCTAAAGGAGTTCATCACCACCAAACCAGTATTCTATGAAATGCTGAAAGGTATCCTTTAAGAAGAGGAAGAAGAAGAAAAAGGTAAAGATACAAATTATGAACAACAAACATGCATCTATCAACAAGTGAATCTAAGAATCAAGTGAATAAATAATCTGATGTACAGAATGAACTGGTGATTATAATGAATCAGGGACATAGAAAGGGAATGGACTATTCTTGGGGGGGAAGGGGAGTGGGAGATGCGGGAAGAGACTGGACAAAAATCGTGCACCTATGGATGAGGACAGTGGGTGGGGAGTGAGGGCAGAGGGTGGGGTGGGAACTGGGAGGACGGGAGTTATGGGGGGAAGAAAGAGGAACAACTGTAATAATCTGAACAATAAAGATTTAATTTAAAAAAAAAAAAAAAGGTAAGTCCAGCCCTAGCTGGTTTGGCTCAGCGGACAGGGAGTTCACAGTGAAGATTCACAGGGCACAGGGCAAGGATGAGCTCACAGGTGAGGTGCGGAGGTCAGGCCAGCAGCAGACACGAGGCGGCGCCACTGGGTTCAGAACTCCACTACTGGCCAGGCCAGGAGCCTAGAGCTCTTCCTGGCGTCCTGGCCAGCTTTGAACTTGTCCATCTGTTCCTTACACCATGGCACCTTCACCCTCCCTCTCCTGAATGTTGCCCCCATTATTCATCGAATGTGGAATGTTCACGGATGAAAGACAGAATTCTCCAGGGCCAAAGCGATTCTTTCCTGCCAGCTCCTCCCACCACGGTGCCCTCTTCCCAGACACCGGAAGCACAGCAGCTGTTCCCATGGCCTGGCAGCCTGGGTGTAGGTACCAACCGCGTGCACATTTGCCCGGCGGGGACCGCCACAGGGTCGTGCCACTTGCGGGGAATTTCCGTCCGCACGACAGGGAGACAGGAAATCCAGCCGTAAGGGCAGATGCAGCCTGTAGTGCTGGCAAAATCCCTGAGTGCATCCCCGGAAGTTTGAGTTCCCTTATGACTTCGTCACTAAAAGCAGGGCCCTGACCAAAAGCATAAACCACCCCTGGAACCTGACAGGGGTAGAAGAAATATTTCCTTGTCCTCCGTCACCCATGAAAGTATTACATATCACAAAATCAGTGTTGGGCGTTTACTCCTAGTAACACCAGCTGACGCGTTGAGCCACAACTTCGCTTTTGCAGCCATGTTACACCACGCACACCACGCACACGACGCACACCACGTACACCACGCATACCACGCACACCACGCAGACACACCTTTGACTGACGTTCCGACTAAAGCCCCGATCCTGAAGTTCTGGGCTCCGGGACAAAATCCTTCTGCGTGGCATTTTTATCTGTAAATTGGGCTCAAAACAGATACACTTCGCTGCTGTAGTTTAGGTCAAACTCTTCAGTTTATGGTAGCATAATAATTACGATAGTACTACACTAATAATATATATATATGTAAGTTGATCGTACGGAGGCTGCTATTAACACACTCCATTCTAACGCGACTGAAAGGATCTGACAGTAATTTACACCTTAGGCAAACAGAAAATGATGTAACCCAAAAACTCACCCCACTATTGCTCCAAAAAAGAAACGCGCAGGTCACTAGGGGATGGGCCTGGGGGAAGATGGACTTACCTGTCGGTGTCCTGGGACAGCGTTCTGTTGGTGAGACTAGAAACGTAATCGGCGTTCGGGTGATAACGTCCTCCTTCCTAATCGGCGTTCGGGTGATAATGTCCTCCTTCCTAATCGGCGTTCATGTCCTCCGCATCCGACCTAATCGGCGTTCATGTCCTCCGCATCCGAGGTCAATTCAAAAAACAACAGGAACTACACTGAAAATCAAGCCGAGAGCATCACGGTTGTCCGGCCCTCTGGGCCTCCTTACAGTGACTTACCAACCACAGCCGCGGATATTGGGCGCCAAACTTGCCACCATCTCCGCGGGGCGGAGCCTCGGAAGGGGCGGGGCTTAGCCAGAACCAGTGAGACGCTGGTTCCGGGTGTACGGCACGCACGCCGGGGCCAGCGTGGGCGTATAAAGATTCGAAGCCCAGACGCAGGCTGCCGCCAGCCAGACTGCAGGCCTCCGGGTAGGACGCCCAGCAGCTCGGAGGACTTGCCCCACGACTCCCTTCGCCCAGGCCGCCCCCAGCCCGCCTCACCTGTCGCCGATGCTGAGTGACACTCGCCCTCTGCTAGGCTTCCGCAACACCGCCCTCAGCGCCATTAGGATGATAGGCAGCCGCCTCCTCAGCCCCAGCTTCCATGCTGCGCCCAGGTGGGAACCACCATCCGGAGGACCTGGCCCCGCCAAGCGCCGCCGAATTGAGGAGCCCGCGGGCCCTGAAGATGGGATGGCGCCCAACCTGCAAGGCCCGGCGGGGCCCCGGGCAGCCGACGCGCTCACCTCCGTGCTGGTCCTGGCTGCAGGCTGTGCCCTGCAGCTGCCTCTGGACGGCATTGACCTGGT